TGACATGCATGTGGTAAAAATTTGCTCCCATATTGTAGGTTCTCTCTCCACCTCATTGATTATTTTTTTTAAATATTTTTTTAGTTATACATGGGCACAATATCTTTATTTTGTTTATTTATTTTTATGTGGTGCTGAGAATCAAACCCAGGGTCTCACACGTAAGAGGCGAGTGCTCTTTCGCTGAGCCACAACCCCAGCCCCCACCTCAATGATTATTTTTGCTGAGAAGTTTTTTAGTTTGAATCAATACCATTTATTGATTCTTGATTTTATTTCTTGTGCTTTAGGAGTCTTGTTAAGGAAGTTGGGGCCTAATCCAACATGATGAAGATCTGGGCCCACTTTTTCTTCTATTAAGTGCAGGGTCTCTGGTCTAATCCTTGATCTCCTTTGAGTTGAGTTTTGTGCATGGTGAGAGAGAGTGATTTAATTTCATTTTGCTATATATGGATTTCCAGTTTTCCCAGCTCCATTTGTTGAAGAGGCTGTCCTTTCTCCAATGTATGTTTTTGGCACTTTTGTCTAGTATAAAATAATTGTATTTATGTGGGTTGGTTTCTATACCTTCTATTCTGTACTGTTGGTCTACATGCCTATTTTGGTGCCAATACCATGCTGTTTTTATTACTATTGCTGTGTAGAATAGTTTAAGGTCTGGTTTGGATGCCTCCTGCTTCACTTTTCTTGCTAAGGATTACTTTGGCTATTCTGGATCTCTTATTTTTCCAAATGAAATTCATGATTGCTTTTTCTAGTTCTATGAAGAAGATCAGTGGGATTTTAATAGTAATTGCATTAAATCTGTATAGCAGTTTTGGTAGTATGATCATTTTGACAATATTAATTCTGCCTATCCAAGAGCATGGGTGATGTTTCCATTTTCTAAGGTCTTCGTCAGTTTTCTTCTTTGGAGTTCTGTAGTTTTCATTTTAGAGGTTTTTCATCTCTTTTGTTAGATTGATTCCCAAGTATTTTTTATTTTTTGAGGCTATATTGAATGGGATAGTTTTCCTAATTTCTCTTTCAGTGGATTCCTTACTTATGTATAGAAATGCATTTGATTTTATGTGTATTGATTTTATATACTGCTACTTTGCTGAATTTATTTATTAGTTCTAGAAGTTTTCTGGTGGAATTTTTTGGATCTTCTAAATATAGAATCATGTCTTCAGAAATAGTGAGGCAAATAGTGATAGTTTGAGTTCTTCTTTTCCTATGTGTATCCTTTTAATTTATTTTGTTTGTCTGATTGCTCTGGCTAGAATTTCAAGGGCTGAGTTGAATAGAAGTGGTGAAAGAGGGCATCCCTGTCTTGTTCCAGTTTTTAGAGGGAATGCTTCCAATTTTTCTCCATTTAGAATGATGTTGGCCTTGGGCTTAGCATAGATAGCTTTTATAATGTTGATATAATCCAACTTTTCCTAGTTTTTGTAGTGTTTTGAAAATGAAGAGGTGCTATATTTTATCAAATGCTTTTTTTTTTAGCTTCTGTTGAGAAAATCATCTGATTCTTATCTTTAAGTCTATTGATATGATGTATTACATTTATTGATTTCCATATGTTGAACCAACCTTGCATCTCTAAGATGAACCCCACTTAATTCAGGTGCACTATCTTTTTAATATGTTTTTGTATGTGATTAGCCAGGATTTTATTGAGAATTTTGGTGTTTATGTTCATCAGGGATATTGGTCTGAAGTTTTCTTTCCTTGATGAGTCTTTGTCTGGTTTTGGTATCAGGGTGATGCTAGCCTCATAGAATGAGTTTAGAAGAGTTCCCTCCTTTTCTCTTTTATGGAATATTTTTTTTAAGAGAGAGAGTGGGGGGGCGGGGAGGGAGTTTTTTTTTAATTTTTTTATTTTTTAGTTCTCGGCGGACACAACATCTTTATTTTTATTTTTATTTTTTTTTGTATGTGGTGCTGAGGATCGAACCCGGGCCGCACACATGCCAGGAGAGCGTGCTACCGCTTGAGCCACATCCCCAGCCCTTATGGAATAATTTTAAGAGTATTGATATTAGTTCTTCCTGGAAGGTCTTGTAGAACTTGGCTGAGAATCCATCTGGTCCTGGGCTCTTCTTGGTTGGTAGGCTTTTGATGGCATCTTCTGTTTCCTTGCTTGAAACTTATCTGTTTAAATTGTGTATGTGGGCTGGGATTGTGGCTCAGCTGTAGAGTGCTCGCCTAGCATGGGCTGGACCGGGTTCGATTCTCAGCACCACATAAAAAAATAAAGGCATTGTGTTGTGTCCATCTACACCTAAAAAATAAGTATTAAAAAAAAAAGAGTTTTGAAAAAAATAAAATAAATAAATTGAGTATGTCCTTTTGATTCAGTTTGGGTAGATCATATGTTTCTAGAAGTTGTCAATGTCATTGAAATTTTCTATTTTATTGGTGTATAAATTTTCAAAGTGGTTTCTAATTATCTTCTGTATTTTAATAGTGTCCATCGTGATATTTCCTTTTTCATCACAAATTTTAGTAGTTTGAATTTTTCTCTTCTTCTCTTTGTTAGCATGGCTAAGAGTCTATCAATTTTATTTATTTTTTCAAAGAAACAACTTTTCATTTTGTCAAATTTTTGAATTGTTTCTTTTGTTTTAATTTTATTGATTTCAGCTCTGATTTTAATCATTTTGTCTTCTACTTTTGGTGTTGATTTATTTTGTTTTTGTTTTTTCTAGAGCTTTGGGATGTAATGTTAGGCCATTTATTTGTTGACTTTTTATTCTTTTAATGAATGAGCTCATGCAATGAACTTTTCTCTTAGTACTACCTTCATAGTGTCCCAGAGATTTTGATATGTTGTATGTTGTTTACCTCTAAGAATTTTTTTTATCTCTTCCCTGATGTCTTCTGCTACCATTGCTTATTCAATATTGTATTATTTAGGCTCCAGGTATTAGAATAATTTCTATTTTTTATTTTATCATTGATTTCTAGTTTCATTCCTTTATGATCTGATAGAATACAGGGTAGTATCTCTATTTTTTTGTATTTGCTGAGAGTTGCTTTGTGGCATAATAAATGATCTATTTAGAGAAGGATTCATATGCTGCTGAGAAGAAGGTGTATTTGCTTGATGATGGATGAAATATATGTCTATTAAGTCTAAATCATTGATTGTATCCTTGAGTTCTATAATTTGTTTACTTTTTGTTTAGAAGATCTATCCAGTGATGAGAGAGGTGTGTTGAAGTCATCCAGTATCTTTGTGTTGGGATTTATTTGCTTCTTGAAATTGAGAAGGGTTTGTTTGATATACGTAGAACCTCCATTGTTTGGGGCATAGATGTTTATGATTATTATGTCTTGTTGATGTGTGGTTCTCTCAAGCAGTATGAGATGTCCTTCTTCATCTCTTCTGACTAACTTTGGTTTGAAGCCCACTTTATCTGATTTGAGGATGGAAACCCCTGCTTGTTTACATGGCCCATGTGAGCGATATATTTTTTTCCCAACCTTTCACCTTCAGTCTGTGGTTGTCTTTTCCTATGAGATGAGTCTCTTGAAAGCAGAATATTGTTGGATGTATTTTTTAAAAATTTAATCTGCCATTCTGTGTCTTTTAATTGATGAGTTTGGGCCATTAACATTCAGGGTTATTATTGAGTCATGGTTTGTATTCCCAGTCATTTTGGTTTATTTTTGATTTTTAACTTGAGTTGGTTTCTCCTTTGATTGGATTTTTCCTTAGTGTAGTTCCTCCCTTTGCTGATTTTCACTGTTGTTTTTTATTTCCTCCTCATGGAATATTTTGCCAAGAATATTCTGTAGTGCAGGCTTTCTTTTTTTTTTTAAATATTTATTTTTAAGTTTTAGGTGGACATAATATCTTTTATTTTATATATATATTTTTTTTAATTTTTAAATATTTATTTATTTTTTTAGTTTTCGGCATACACATCTTTGTTTGTATGTGGTGCTGAGGATCGAACCCGGGCCACACGCATGCCAAGCAAGCGCGCTACCACTTGAGCCACATCCTTTATTGTGGTGCTGAGGATTGAACCCAGTGCCTCATGCATGCTAGGTGAGCGCTCTACCACTGAGCCACAACCTGTAGTGCAGGCTTTCATGTTGTAAATTCTTTTAATTTTTGTTTATTATGGAAGGTTTTTATTTTATCATCAAATCTGAAACTTAATTTTGCTGGATAAAAGATTCTTGATTGGCATGCATTTTCTTTCAGTGCTTGATATATGTTGTTCCACAATCTCCTGGCTTTGAGGGTCTGGGTTGAAAAATTTGCTGACATCCAAATTGATTTCCCCCTATATGTAATCTGAAACTTTTCTCTTGTGGCTTTTAAAATTCTGTCCTTATTTGGCATTTTCATTATAAGGTGCCTTGGTGTGGATCTGTTGTAATTTTGTACATTTGGGGTCCTGTAAGCCTCTTGTATTTGATTTTCCAACTCATTCTCCATGTTTGATATTATTTCATTGCAGACATTGGCCATTCCTTTGGTTTGTATCTCTGTGCTTCCTCTAATTCTTAGATTTGGTTTTTTCATGTTGTCCCATAATTCTTGGAGATTCTATTCATGGCTTCTCACCTTCTTCACTGTGTGGTCAACTTTATTTTCAAGATTATATATTTTGTCTTCATTGCCTGAGGTTCTGTCTTCCAAGTGATCTAGTGTTTGTGATTCTGTTCACTTGTAACTGAATCTAGAAGCCTAATCAGGTTCAAGTTTAATTTTTTTGGAGGGGAAGACTCATATAAAGGTAGGGGTATATTCTCTCAAGAGAAACATTGACCAGTTGTCTCTTTTTGTCACATTAGCAGTAACTGATACTTAATGCATACTTAGTAGTCAGTTAGTAGTAACTGATACTTAATGCATAAATTTAATTCATACATATGGGCTTCAAAGAAATTAATTTACAAAAGAAGTGAATACATGCATACTGGCATAGTAGGTATAAATGAAAAGAGCAAAGTTTATGTGAATTCTGAAATGATATCAACCCTTCCCTCTGTTACAGCAATTGAGCCAGTTTTGGTATAGTCAGGAAACTGCTCTGCGACTTGCACAGGAGGTGATTGCTGCTGCTGGAGAAGGTGGCAGGTGAGATTCAATATTTGTTTCCTTTTTGTCTTCTACTCTAAATGAATCTGAGGCACATCTCACACAATGGCATGAAAACTGGTTATCATGCTTATGAACCCTAAATGGATCTGTAAATTAATATTTTGAACGTTCTTCCTAGATGAGAGATGGTTTGTGAGAAGTTTTACTATAATATACAAATATTGTGGGTTGCAGCACATGACCAATTAAGAACTGCTTCAACACTGAGTTTAGGGATGCATTCAGAAATCTATTCATCATGTCATTTCTAATCTCTCTCTCTCTTGTTTTTTTTTTTTGGGGTGTGTGTGTGTGTGTGTGTGTGTGTGTGTGTGGTTGTACTAGAGATTAAACCTGGGATCTAGCACATGCTAGGCAAATGTGATATTCTACTACTAAACTGTATCCCCGGCCTTTATTCCTTTTTTTTTTTTTGGCGGTTCTGGGGATTGAGCACAGGGTCTTGTGCATACAAGTCAAGCACTCTACTAACTGAGCTATATCCTCAGCCCACTATTCTTATATTGACATTTTCCAACCAATTTCTTTCCTTTATATGTCTAGAGTTTGCTTTAAAAGAGAACACCTTGGAGGCTGCGGGTATAGCTCAGTGGTAGAGCACTTGCTTAGGCCCTGAGTTTGATTCCCTAGCACAAAAAGAGAGAGAAAGAGAGACAGAGAAATCATAATGTTTGGTCTTTTTGAACTTTGATGAATATAGGCTTTCTTTTTTGTTAATTTGGTTTTTATTTTTGTCAAAGGTTTTCATGCATATAATTTTTGGGGGAGCGGGTACAAGGGATTGAACTCAGGGGCACTCAACCACTGAGCCACATTCCTAGCCGTATTTGTATTTTATCTAGAGACAGGGTCTTACTGAATTGCTTAGTGCCTCACCATTGCTGAGGCCGGCTTTGAACTCTGCAATCCTCCTATCTCAGCCTCCCAAGCTCCTGGGATTACAGGCTTGTGCCTTTGCGCCCAACTTCATGCATGTAATTTAAAGGGTCAAATGTTTCTAAAAGGTTTATTCAGAAAAACATCCATTACTAACTTCCCTCATGCCTGCCCCCTACTTTCAGCTTCTTTTCAGTTGATTCTTTTGGTATTTACAGTCAGATTTCTGAGTAATATGTTTATATTGCTACTTTGTGATTTGTCATTTTTAGACATTTACTATCATTCCCCCTTATCTGTAGGGGGATCTGTTCCAAGATCTCAGTGGGTACCTGAAACCATAGGTAGTATGAAACTCTTTATACACTATGTTGTTCCATACATACATTCTTTTTTTTTAAACTATAGTAGTTTTATATATATATATATATATATATATATATATATATATATATATATATATATAGTTGTATATGGACACAATATCTTTATTTTGTTTATTTATTTTTATGTGGTGCTGAGGATCTAACCCAGTGCCTCACACATGCAAGGCAAGCGCTCTACACAGTAATAGATCAACAATAGCAACTGAAAGTTATTTAAAATTTATGAACAACTTCTGGAATTTTCCATTTAATGTTTTAGAATTATATCAGTTACAGATTACTGAAACTGCAGAAAGCAAAACCACAGTTAAGGGGGTACTTCTTTCTTTTCACTGTAGAGGATTTAGCTCTTTTTGTGCTCTACCATAATCACATAATATGCATGCTTTCTGTCCATATTCCCAATAGTCCTATCTTAATTTTAGTTAGGACCGGTGAAAGGAAAGTGAGAAAACAAGAGACAGAAGAGCAAGAAATGAAGGACGGAGACCAGGCAGAGAGCCACACGAAAGTTTATTTGTCAAAGCCGACAAATAAAGGCCATCTCTCTATAGAGAGGAGAGAGAGGCCCCAAGATGTTCGGGTGCTCAGCTTTTGTGGGTTAGGGGTTTGGAGTTGTCGTTGTGGCTCTATAGGATAGGATCAGGGGTGCTTGCGTTAGAGCTAGGCAGGTGGGGTATAGCATGGGATTGGCTTAGGTCCATGGTACCATGGGGCTTTCCAGAGCAAAGAAGTAGTGTCCTTCTGGGATTGACTTAGGGTTATGGTACCATGGGGTGGGTAGGTCACTAATGGAGGTGAGGGGAGTTTGGGTAAGAGGAAGTACAGGAAAGTGAAACTTATCTCATAAAATGGCAATTAACATTTAAAATGGCTGCTCAGATGTTAAATCAGTACCCTATAACTGGCTCATGTTGTTGTGGCTGTATAGTCTTATTTATAGTTAAGACTTCAATTTTCCTCTTTTCTACAATTTTTATTTTCTATGCAGATAATAATTCTTTTATTTTTATGTATTCTGTATCCATATTATTAATTAACTTCCAAATTTTCTATCTAGATCTCCTATCAGTAAGTACAAACATGTTTTGTTTTGGTTTTTTTACTTTTAAAATAAAGTTTATTTTGCATATTTGAGGCTTACAATATGTTCTGAGATACATATAGATAGAATGGTTGCCGTGATGAGGCAGATTTCCAAAACATACTACATATTACATATTTCCCCAGTTTTTCATTTGCTTTTTATTTGTTAACAATGTTTCTGATGTGAACTTTTAAAAAATGATTTATTTTATTTTAAAAACTCATTATTGTACCAGTTTATGGGGTCAGGTATGATAATTATATATATGTGTGATATATATAATATATGTTATATTATATATATATAATATATATATATATATATCTTGATTTGACCAGTTCTCTCTCTCTCTCTCTCTCTCTCTCTCTATATATATATATATATATATATATCCCTCCCATCACTTCCTACTCCTAATCTAAGGTAACATTATTCTTCCCTAGTGCTTCCCCTGCATTACTGTGAATTAGCATCCACATCACCCTAATACAAAAAACAGACAAAGACACATTAAGGAAAGAAAACTTCAGACCAATAGCCCTGATGAACATAGATATAAAAATTCTCAATAAAATTTTTGCAAATTGCATATAAAAACATATTTAAAAGATAGTGCACCACGATCAAGGAGGATTCATCCCAGGAATGCAGGGTTGGTTCAACATATGAAAATCAATAAATGTAATTCATCATATTAATAGACTTAAAAACAAGAATCATATGATCATCTCAATAGATGCACAAAAAGCATTTGAAAAAATACAGCACTCCTTCATGTTCAAAAGACTAGAAAAACTAGGGATAGTAGGAACATACCTCAATGTTATAAGAGCTATATATGCTAAACTCAAGGCCAGCATCATTCTAAATGGAGAAAAACTGAAAGCATTCTCGCTAAAAACTAGAATAAGACAAGGATGTCCTCTTTCACCACTTCTATTTGACATCATCCTTGAAACTCTAGCCAGAACAATTAGACAAAAGAAAGAAATTAAAGGGATACAAATAGGTAAAGAATAACTCAAACTACCACTATTTGCTGATGACAGGATTCTGTACCTAGAAGATCCAAAAAATTCCACCAGAAAACTTTTAGAACTAATAAATGAATTCAGCAAAGTAGCAGGATATAAAATCAATACCCATAAATCAAATGCATTTCTATACATCAGCGATAAGTCCACTGAAAGAGAAATTAGGAAAACTACTCCATTCACAATAGCCTCAAAAAAAAAAAAAAAAAAAAGAGACAATCTAACAAAAAAGGTGAAAAACCTCTACAGTGAAAACTACAGAAAGAAATTGAAGAAAACCTCAGAAGATGGAAAGATCTCTGATGCTCCTGGTTAGGCAGAATTAATATTGTCAAAATGGTCATACTACCAAAAGCTTTATACAGATTCAATGTAATTCCTATTAAAATCCCAATGACAGTCTTAGAAATAGAAGTAGAAAAAGCAATCATAAAATTTATTTGGAAAAATAAGAGACCCAGAATAGCTAAAGCAATCCTTAGCAAGAAAAGTGAAGCAGGAGGCATAATAATACCAGACCTTAAACTATCCTTCAGAGCTATAGTAACAAAACCAGCATGGTATTGGCACCAAAATAGACTGGTAGCCCAATGGTACATAATAGAGGACACAGAGACAAACCCACATAAATACGGTTAACCTTCCAGAGTAGCTGGGATTACAGGTGTTATTGCACCAGATGTTATGGTTTGGATCTGGAATCCTCCAGTCTCGTGTGTTGAAGGCCTTGTCCCTAATGCAGTAATATTAATAGTTGGGGATTTGGGGAAGTGAATGCATCATAAGAGCTCTAACTTCATCAGTGGATCAATTCACTGATGGATTAATAATTTACATAAACTCTTGGGAGGCGGTATAAATTGTAGGAGGTGGGGCATAGTTGGAAGAAGTGGGTCCCTGAGGCATACCCTTGGGGACTATATCTTGTCCCTAACGCCTTCCTTCTCTCTTGCTCTTGCTCTCTCTCACTCTCTTTGCTTCCCTGCTGCCATGAGCTGACAGTTTCCTCTGCCACACCCTTCTTCCATGATGTTCTGCCTTACTTCAGGCCCAAAGTAGTGGAGCCAGCCAACCATGGACTGAGACCTTTAAACTGTGAGCCAAAATCTTTCCTTCTCTAAGTTATTTTTCTCAGGTGTTTGTCATAGCAAGAAAAAGCTAATTACTACACCTGGCTTCTCCCCTAACACTTGGTAGTGATAGTTTTTCTGGGTATTTAAATCTAGATTTGGAAGGAATTGCTCCATTTTCTCCAAGCTTCCATTGTTTCTGTTGAGAAAGCCAATGACACTCTGATTTCTTGTAAGAAACCTGTTTTTGTTTTGTTTTTTTGGTTCTTCCCCCTATAGGCTTAGGGTTTTCTTTTCTTAATCTTTGGTACCCAGAGTAGTTTTTTGGTTTTTGCCACTTTTATCTATTGCATTGAACACTAAGAAATCCTTTCTTTTTTTTAACTCACGTCCTTCAGTTTGGGAAAGAAATTGTCTTAAATTCTTTCTTTGATTCCTTCACCCATGGTTTTCTTTTTCTTTCTTTTCTTTTTTTTTTTTTTTTCTGTTCCATTTCTGGAACTTCTGCTAATTGAATATGGACTCTAATTTTCTCATTTTCTGTCTGTTGTCTCTTTATCCAGCTTTCTCGGAGAATTCCTCAACTTTATTGTCTAACTATTCTATTGAGTTTGTCATATATACTATCATATTTGTAATTGTATATAGCTCTTTTTTTGACCTTTGAATATTAATTTACTATTGTATCTTGTTCATCCCTCTTAGGAATATTATTAGTTCTGTAACTAATTTATAACATCAGGATCAGGATGAGCTATTTCCTAGAGAGCCCCTAGTGTCAATGTGTATAGCATTTTCCTATAATTTATAAACATTTTCTTTTCCCTGCATAGTTTCTGTTTACTCTGAAATGCTTTTATCTATCTAACCTCAGATACTTGTCTAATATTGGTGCTTCAAATGTCTGTTGACCCTCAGCTGTACATTCATATTTAAGCATGGGGCACTCAAAAGCTGGAAGATTTGACACGTGGGTGTTCCTTATTTACTTTAATTTATTGTTATTATTGTTTGGTTTGGTTTGGGGGTTAGCGCTAGGGATTGGACCCAGGACTTCACATGTGCTAAGCATATGCTCTACCACTGATCTACACCCCCAGCCCTACATTATCTACTTTGGTCTCTATAGTTGGAGGATCAGGATGAGCTATTTCCTAGAGAGCCCCTACCTAGTGTCATTGTGTATAGCATTTTCCTATAGGCTGGTCAGAGATCTAGGGAAGATTCTCTTAATTCTTCCCTGGAAGTTATGCATCCTTCAATGACTGAAAGAAGAGGAAGTCTCAATATCCATTGAGTTTAATGTATTTCTTCTAACTTCCTATTCTTTTGTTTTGTTTTGCTTTGCTTTTTTTTTTTTTCTTTTCAGTGCCAGAAATGGAACCCAGAACATTAGCCTGTTAGGCAAGTTCCCTGTCGCTGAGCTAAACACCCAGTTCCCTTTTATTTCCACATAGAACCACATCATCAATTGTGGTTATCATCCCTCTCTTGAGCATGCCCCAATCCAAAGAACATTCCTCCAGTTTCTGCCAGTTGTGGAAAGCATATGCTCTAAGACATGGGTGTGGAAAAGAATCCTGGGGATGAATTACTTCTTAAATAGATACTTTACCAGTCATGGTGCAGTCCTGTAATCCCAGCTACTTGGGAGGCTGAGGCAGAAGGACTACAAGTTCAAGACCAGCCTGGGTAACATAGTAAGACCCTGTCTTAAAATAAAATTAAAAAGCCTGGGAGAGAGAGAGAGAAAGGGAGAGCCTTGAAAGCAACTTTTTGTTTTTTTTTTTCTGAAAGGTGACATCAGTGTTTCTAGGTACTAAGTCATAATTTTAAACATGAATGATAGTAAAAATAATTTATTGATCACTGTGTACCCTCTCTTATAAGTGCTTTACCAGCGTCGTTTTATTCTGTCCTTTCGTCTCTGTGGAGTCATTACTTTTATGCTCTCCATTCTAAAGACAGACAGCAAGGCTGGAGAAATTCAGTCATTTGCAGAAGGTCACCCAGTGGTTAGCTGGCTCATCAGGTGCTACCTGATAACCTTCACTATCTTTTGCCAACTTCTCCAGCCTCTCCGGTCTCATTCCATCTTGCAACTTGGTCCACTGCCCTGCCTGAAGTGCAGGGAAACCTGCTCAAGCAAGCACTGAGATTTTGTTTGCCTGGAAATAGCTTTATTTCTTCTTTCTCAGAAAAATTTTGCATTGTATGTAAGCTGGGTGTAATGGTGCACACCTGCAACCCCAGCAACTTGGGAGGTTGAGGCAGGAGGATAACGAGTTTGAAGCCAGCCTTGGCAACTTAGCAAATCCTTGTCTCAAAATAAAAAATAGAAAGGGCTAGGGGTGTAATTCAGTGAAAGGAAGGGAGGTTGGGAGGGGAAAGGAGGGAGGGAGGAATTTCCATTGTGCATACCTGATCCTGAATGTTGCAGTTTGTTCTTTCAGCGAAGTAGAGATAGAATTGCGCTGTCCCTGTGTCCTCCCAGCCCTGTGCAGAAGTGCTGAGCTGGGAGGGCCCTGTCCCCACCAGCTGGCTAGGACACACGTTTTGACCTCACCAGCCTTTACTATCCCATACTCATGAAATCATGTTTTACTCTTCTCTGTTCCTTGAATAGATCTTGGTGATCAGTCCTAATCAGCATACAGAGGTCTATTTCAGTCTTTTTAAAAGTGGCTACCATGAAATAAACATACCATAGTCAAGTCAGCATTTCAATATTTAGGTTACCCCTGGATTTTTCAGCAATTGGAGTTAAAAGTTATCTCTTGGAAAACTACCCATTCATATAAACTGTGCACTACTTGTAATGAAATAAGGTCTTTGAACTGGGAATGTAGCTTAGTGTGCCTAGCATGCACAAAGCCCTGCATTTGATCTCAAGCAAAAAAGAATACATTCTTTGATTTTCTTACATGCACAAAAAAAGATGCAAACATTCAGAGTAGTTTGTCTGCAATAAGACCTCGCTTTATTATATCTTTTTGGAAAACTGGAGGTATTTAGGGATCTACTTGGGATTTTTCTTGCAAGATCATGAATATTACAAAATGACTTCAAAATATCTAGTTTGGACTAAAAGTATTTGAAAGGAGTATTAAAAACTCAACATGAAAACACTTGGTGAATTTAGACTTTGGGCTAACTACATCTAATTTTTATCATAATGTGTTCCTGATGTTTTTAACATTTTTTCTATAAAAGTACATTTATTATTTCATAACCTCAAATTATGAGTTACGTATTTTTAAATAACAAATTCTTTAAAAGTGAGACTATATAATGTTTTTCTCAAAAATTTACTAATCATTAGCTTGCACTATTATTTGATTCAAGAAAATCTGAACACAAGGACCCATTATTTTGAGGAAAGTAGCACCATTAAAGATCTCTCACAGTGTATTCATTTTGTATTGTAGAATTGCGTGTGTGAGTGCCCCCAGTGTTTATCAGAAACTCAGAGAACTACACAGAGAAGACTTCTCTATATACATCTTTGAATATGACAAAAGATTCGCCATGTATGGAGAAGAATTTATCTTCTATGATTATAATAATCCACTGGATTTACCTGAAAAAATTGTTGCACATAGTTTTGACATTGTAATAGCAGATCCTCCCTATCTTTCTGAGGAATGTCTCAGGAAGACATCCGAAACCATCAAATACCTGACAAGGGGCAAGATTCTGCTATGTACAGGTAGGTACCACATTTTGGGTCTCATGTAGGCTGATGACAGTGGATAGTCAAGTCTTGGGTTCCAAGAGCTGGAAGAGATCTTAGAACTCAGATCCTTAGAACTGAATCTTAGAACTTACCATGTGACCTTAAACAAGTTATTTAACCTCTCTGTGCCATGGGTTTCTGATCTATAAACTGAAACTGATAATAAATACTACCTGCTTTTAAGGGTCATGGTGAATCGTGCTGACCATGAAATGCTTAGCTTAAGATCTGACACTAAACTGTCATCATGGTAACAATAGTATTTGATCCAGACTCCACAACTGATAAAGAGAAAATCAGAATCTATAAAGGGAATTGTCTTAGGTTATAGAGCTAAACATTACATTAGGTTCATTAGTAAAAGTTTTCTTCATGCAACTGATACACTTTCTTAAGATTATTTATTAAAATTTGAGAACTAAAACTTCACCTACCCATCTCTTTACTTCTGTGCAGCCCTGTGTCTGTGTGCTTGGTGTGGTCGTGGGTCCTACTCCCAGGTCCTCAGGGCCACAGCTTCTTTCCTGCATGCCCTACTCTGCTCTTTGCCCTGGAGCTGCAGGGGGTCTGCTCTTGGGTGGTGTAGAATTGTTTATTTGGTGAAGAATGCCACTCTTTGTCCATACCAATGTAATTTACTTAATGTTCATTCATTTGACAACTATTTACTAACCCTTTGTGCCAGCCAACAAGCAAGTAATCTGATCTCTTGGGATATACCTTTTAGTTTTAGGAGAGAAATATTGTAAAAATGTGACAAAACAGACCTAAGAAATGAAGCTCTAATTCTCTTCAAGTGTAATGAAGAAAGAGAAGCAGGGCTGGTACTGAGGAAGACAGGGAGGGAACTCCAGACCCAGGGCAAGATCTCAGCGGGAAGTCCAGGTGCCCTCAACCCTGGCAGGGGTGGGCCAGCACAGACCAGGTTCAGGGGCTCAATGTGACCAGAGGGTGGTGTCAAGTAGTGTGGAACAAGAGGTGTTCCCCACCCAAACCCTGTACAGATGAGAGCCAGGAATCAAGGCTTTCTTTTACAGTGTTTAGTCCAAAAACCACTGGGTCCAATTAGTCTAATTGGTCCAATTGGTCTCTGGAGCTTTGTACCAAAGTGGCTAGTGGATACAGGTGCCACGTGGGGCCACCACAGTGTTCAGCTGAGAGTGACAGCAGTTCTGGCAAGGTTACAGCATTAGGAATAGATAAAAGATCATGTTGGGTGATAAAATTGGAAGAACTTGCTATGATCTGAATGTGGAGGGGAAGAAAGGGCAAGAATCAGGGATTCTTCTGTTTTCTGGCTGGTGCTCTCTGCAACATGTGAGTGTTGGGAGAGGAGCACTTGGGCAAGATGGACCACAGGGCAAGGAGTAGGCTGGGAGAGAAATTGGAGAGATGGGCAAACAGGTGGTCCATGTTCATTCATAGGCTCTGTAAGATTATATGCTAACCAAAAAGAAGTTATTGACTCAACCGGGAAGGCCTAGTAGTTCTTTTTGCTTTCCTCGTCTTCCTTTATAAATATAATCCACTTCTGTTTCTAAGTGTCCAAGCTTTGCAGAAATAGGAAGATTACTTATTAACTAAAAAAGAAATGGAAAAAGTAGATAATTTATAAAAATGTCAGAGAAGGTAAAGGGGGACATAAAGAATGGACCCCCACTCTCTGTGTTAGTTGTTTCAAGTGTTTTAGTCTAGAATCTGCTCCACAGCCATGATTGGTCCCCTCTCCTGGTTGGTATTTCACTCTGTTTCATTGGATTTGTTCTCCTCAGGTGCCGTCATGGAAGAACAGGCAGCGCAACTCCTGGATGTGAGGATGTGCAAGTTTATTCCAGAACACACACGAAACTTGGCAAATGAGTTCCGCTGCTATGTGAATTATGATTCTGGACTGGACTAGGGAACCTAAACATGGACAGGGACATGTTACAGGAAAGGATCCCGGTGACATTTTCATTTCCCCCTTTTTATTTTCTTAGTCAATTGAAAAGCTATAACCTCTTCTCCCACTCCCCCCAAACTGGGGCTGTCCTGGCCTAATTTTCAGAATAAAGGAGAAAACTGTCATTATTGTTTCTTTAATGAGGGCATCCCTGGAGTTTGGGATTCTTCTGCCAATCAAATCCATGGAATTAGAGTTGAAAGAAATCTTAAAACCTGTCTAATGCATTCCTCATTTGATAACATATGTGGAAAAAACAGAACAACTTGCTGGCTTACCCAAGCCTCTTGAGGTGAACAGGATATTGGTGTCTGCTTTGGGCCAGAGGTTCCTTAAAGTGGGCTCCTTCTGACCAGCAGTGGATAGTGGGTGCTTCTAGTGGTTGGCATGCAGCATCCTTGGTCTTGTGAGAGCACTTGACATCCTGCTCCAGCCACCCAGGGAGACTTGACTTGCCTCCATGAAATCAGTTGATAATCCAAGGAACCAATTTTTGAGTGCCTTTTATATTTCTCCTCCTTTTCCCAGTTTGGGAGGGGTGACTTGAATGTATCTCAGGTGCCCTCTGCCAGTGGCTGAGCCTCAGCATTCTCATTCCAAACTGCCTGAAGAAGTCAGTGCCACCTGTGAACCAAACATTGTTACCAAGAAACAGCTGGGGACTGCACTAGATTCTTATTGTTCAAAAAATATTTCTGATACATCTATACCCCAGAAGGCTGCATGGTAATCAAAAGGAATGGACCATTGAAATCTATAAGTTGGATGGATCTTAAGGACATCATGCTGGGTGAAAAAAGCCAATTCCCAAAGGTCACGTGCTATAGGTTTCCAGTTATATAACATTCTCCAATGGAGAACAAATGGGGGAGGGGGGCTGTGGGGAGGGGCACGGCCACAAAGGGAAGTTCTCTGTGGTCCTGGATTGTTTTGTGTCTTGTCTGTGGCTTGGGTTTCACATGCACAAATGAGTATGTAAAACAAAATGTGAACTTGGAATAGAGAATGGGGTCTGTGGTTGTACTGGCCTTGGTTTCCTGGTTGTGACATTATGCTGCAGGGGGGAAACTAGGTAAAGGGTACACACCTCTCTGGTAATATTGCAATTTTTTGGAGATCTATAATCATTTCAAGATACTTTCCCCCAAATCAACACTGTCTCTCTGGGAAAGGGTTATTCCCACCTCATATGACTTGCTTTGGCTGACCGAATGTGAAAGGAAGTGACACGAGTCACTTCTGAATAAAGCTCTGCTTCCGACAGTGACCAGCAGCATTCCAGACAGAAGCTGCTCTGGCTACGTAGTCCTCAAGGGTGGCAGGGCCATAGCCAACAGGCAGGGGACATGAGGAACAGTGAGAAATGAGCTTTTGCTGTTGACCATCAGACTGCGGGACTTGTGACTCACTGGAGCTAAACCTGTCCTATCCTGACTGATCCAGAGAGGAGGGGCTGGGCATGTGAACCCCAGGGGAACTGGGGGAACTGCTCTTGTTTTTTTCTCAGAACTCAGTAATCATACTTCCAGACAACTTTTAATTTAATAATTATTTTTATGAGACATTGATTTTTATCAGCACCTGACACATTATTTAATAAATGTTTTTTAAAAATCACTCCTTCCCAGGCATGGTGGCACATGCCTGTGATCCCAGCGGCTCAGGAGGCTAAGACTGGAGGATTGAGAATTCAAAGCCAGCCTCAGCAACAGCGAGGTGCTAAGCAACTCAGTGAGGCCCAGTCCCTAATAAAACACAGAATAGGGCTGGGGATGTGGCTCAGTGGTTGAGTGCCCCTGAGTTTAAAAAAAATCCACCTTTCCTTATGAATTGGTATGCTAAAAATCACCTAGGCCAGTGACAAATTATGTATAGAAATGAAATGTTCAGCTTACAAATTGCAGACAAGTAACAACCTAGAAATCACAGAATTTTGTCCTGTAAATCAGTCATTTTGTTGAAGAAAAACCTTATTTCTTTTCCAGAGGAGAGAGAGGGAAAGGGAAAGGCTTAATTCATTAAAAATTTATACAAGTTAGAAGGCTTACAAAATGAAGTAATGGCATTTTTTGTTTAATAAGCAGCCAAAGTGTGTTTCACAGCTTTGGACCCCTGATACGATTTCAATTATAGCAAATCTGTGCTCAGTACAATCCACTTCTGGATTTCATAAATAGTCTGCAGCTATACCTTTGCGACCTTTAAAACAAAACAAAACAAAAAAACCATTAGGCCTGGTGTGTTCCTCCCAGTCTGCCCGATTAGGGGTGGAGGCACTCCAGACATCTGCCAATCATCATATACTCTCAGGAGGCTCCTGGCCCCTTATTCTCCAAGAACTTAAAAGATTGAAAAGTATTTTATTTTTTTATATTTTTAGTTGTAGATGGACACAATGCCTTTATTTATTTGTTTATTTTTATGTGATGGTGAGGATCAAACCCAGTGTCTCACACATGCTAGGCAAGTGCTCTACCACAGAGCTACAATCCCAGCCCTGAAAAGTATTTTAATAGACATTTTTGTAAGTCAGAGGTTTGTACTGAGAGACAAAGTAATGAACCCATGAGTGAGAAAGAATAGTTTCACTTTTGCTAACAGAATCTAAATAATTATTTGGCTGTATATTTGGAGCAGTGAGGTGCCTAGAAAGTTAAGAGCAAATGTAATGCACAGGGCGGCTCTTTTCTTTTTGGCAGTACAGGGGATTATTGAGCCTAGGGGTGCTTTACCACTGAGCCACAGCCCTAGCTCATTTTTATTTTTTATTTTGAGGCAGGGTCTCACTAAGTTGCCTAGGCTGGCCTCAAATTTGGATCCTCCTGCCTCAGCTTCCTCAATCTGTGGGATTATGCACAGGGAACTTTAAGACCTCATTTCAGATAGGAGTTCCATGTTCCTTCCCTCTCCATTCGATTCTAAAATCAGAGCTCGAGCCAGTTACTAAAAATGATCCTATTTTTTTCCTCTTTACTCTGCTGAAAGTGATGGAGTGAAATGGGATGTTCAGGAAACTGGCCCCCTATATGGAACTGTTGGTATATGAAAAATATATTTTATTTACTATTCCCAAATGATTGTTTTAACAAAACAAGCATACGATAGAAACAGTAATCTGTCCTCTAATGGATGCCTGAAAACTCAGATGGTATCAAGATCCATATTTTTTTTCCTGTACTTACATACCTATGACAAAGTTTATCAATTAGGCACAGTAAGAGATTAATAATAATAATAAAACAATTATAACAATACACAGTAATAAGATGGCCACCTCAGTACACTTATACTCTGTTTTTTTTGTTTTGTTTTACTTTTTTCTTTTTTTTTTTTGGTATGAGACCAGGTGTCACTATATTATCCAGGCTGGCCCCAAACTCCTACGTCCAGGCGATCCTCTTGCCTCAGCTCTCTGGTAACTGGAACTATAGTTAGTTACTACTTCCTACCATATCTGACTTCAGCTTTGTTATTAAGCAAAATAAGGTTTATTGAAACATAAGCACAGCAATACCATAGCAGTTCATCTGATAACCAAGATCCAGATAGTCACTAAGTGACGCACAGATAGATAGTATATGCAGGTGGATACACTAGACAAGGGGATGATTCAGGTCTCGAGCTGGATGGAGTGAGACACTATAAGATCTCATGACAGCATTTAGAACAGTACACAATTTAAACTTATGAATTCTTTCTGGAAGTTTTCATTTAATATTTTCAGACCATGGTTGACCAAAGAGAACTGAAACCAAAGATAAGGGAGGGCTATTATACTATCAGTTGGAAGAGATCTTTAATAAACAGCAAAGTACCTCTATTCCAAGGGGTATCGTAAAATCCTCAAGATAGAGGCTGGGGATGTGGCTCAGTGGTAGCAAACTTGCCTATCCTGTGTGAGGCACTGGGTTCAACCCTCAGCACCATATAAAAATAAACAAATAAATAAATAAAGGTATTGTATCCATTAACAGCTTAAAAACATACTTTAAAAAAATCCTCAAGATAGAATTTATTTGAAGGGAACACTCACTGTGGCACTTTCTGGGAGGAGGAGAAGAAGCTATTGAAATGTACAGTATCCAGCACGGCTCCCTCATAGAGCCAAGGAATGAGTGGTACCCGAGCAGATGAGTGTAGCTGTGTTAACTGTGTGAGATAAGATTGGGTGGGGGAGGGAAGCAAAGATTGTGGCAGAGGGAAGCAAAGTTTCACTGAAATTTAGCTGGCAGTTTCTCTAGTCCGTTTTCTCTATTTGGTAAAACACAGTATTCCAACCTCCCCCCAAAAAACATTAGTTTTAACAAGAGAATAAAACTGTCATTGTTCATTGAAACAGCATGTCCCCATTCTTAGTCACCACTTCTATTTCAACTTGCCTTATCTAATTGCTGCTTCCTGGTGAAAGTACTAAAGATTTCATTTTAAACATCTTTTATACAAAAACAAAATGAGTCATTCAAAGTGTTATATACCTGCTCAAGCAATCCATTTAAAATAAAGGATTTGTTTGATGTTTGTTTTATTCATTTATTTATTTATTTGTGGTACTGGAGATTGAACAAGAAGCACTCTATCTCTAAGCCACATTCCTTGCCCTCTTTTTTAATTTGTTTTTTTTTTAGTTGTAGATGAACACAATACCTATATTTTATTTATTTACTTATTTTCATGTGGTGCTGAGGATCAAACCCAGTGCCTCACACATGCTAGGCAAGTGTTCTACCACTGAGCTTCAACTGCAGCGCCATCCCCTGCCCTTTTTATTTTGAAACAGAGTCTTGCTAAGCTTCTGAGGCTGGCCTCAAACTTGAGGTCCTCCTTCCTCGGTCCTTCCTCAGAGGAAAAGTTTATTTGAGGGCTCATGGTTCCAGAAGTCTCAGTATATAGGTAGCGGGCTCCATTCCTCAGGTCTTTAGGTAAGGCTGAACATCATGGCAGAAGAGTGTGGCAGAGAGAAGCAGTTCACATTATCATCAGGCAGCAGAGAGAGAGACTCCACTCACCAGGTACAAAATATATACCTCCAATGCCCACTTGCTCTAGTCACACCCTTTTGGCCTTTAGTTACCACTCAGTTAAATCCCTACCAGGATTAATTCACCGATTGGGTTAAGATTCTCACAATCTAATCATTTCTCCTCTGAACCTTCTTGCATAGTCTCACACGTGAGCTTTTTGGGGATATCTCATATCCAAACCGTAACAAGAAGTAATGAAAACAGCTCACACAGGCAAAGGAACACAGACTGATAAGACAGCACTCCTTGTGTGGATCCAGGTAGGTATCAATAAATACTGTTCGTCAGCTTTCTGTCACTTTAACAAAATACCTGCGAGAAAAGGCTTACTTGGCTCACAGTTCTGAAGCTTCTGATCCAAGGTTAGTCAGACCTATTGCTTTGAGCCTATGTTGGGCATTCCAGGTGGCAAATACAGAGAAGGCATACAGAGCAAAATGGCTTCAATCGTGAGCCAGGTGCAAGAGAGAGAGAGAAAGGGACTAGGGTTCCTTTGACCTCACTTTCTTCTTTGAGGACACATCCCCAATAACATAAGAACCTCCAGGGGGCTCCTCCTCCTAAAGGTCCACAGCACCTCCTAATAGCGCTGCCATGGGCCTGTGGAGGGGTACCCAACATCCAAACTAAGGCACTTGGGTGTAGTCCAGGGGTAGAGTGAGAGCTTGCCCTGCATGCACAAGCCCTGAGTTCAATCTCCAGCCCTGAAACCATAGCAGATGTTTAGTAAATGGATGAATATTCCATTGGGGGGTGGACACAAAAAGATTACCTTTCTAGATCTTAGAATGGGAAACTAATTTCTTGCATTGGAAATGTGCTACCCTTTAATAAGTTGAATTTATATAACATAAGGAATAAAATAGTGGTGTTTTCCCCATGCAAATAGCTTCTTAATATCCTGACACTTGCACCATTTGTATTTTGAGGGGTGACCTGGTAAATGTTACACAGCAGTATTGATAACAGGAATAATTACCCAAATGGCTAATTTGAAAGCCACTCTCTAACTTATAGATTTTCGTTCATATTCTAAAAATTCTGTGTTTTCTGGATAGGAATGTATTTAGACAAACCACCACCAGGGATATCATTCTCCTTCCCCCAACCCTGAGTTTGAACAGGGAAGTAAAATTTCACTAACTCCACAGAACTGCCTATAGTTTTCACTTTAAATTTTGAATTTTTTATTTGGACCATCTGGATTTTTCTCATTGGTGTGTATTTCTTCTGTCAGCATTTAGTAGGAGTTGAAAGTTCTTGAATGACTCTTCTGTCTAGATCAGACTCCAGCTGTCAGTAACATAATAACTGTTATTTCCATGGTAAGTGAAGTTTGGTGGTTAAAATATATACCAATATAGGATATTTCTTGGTTTGGGTTTGTCACAAAAGATCAAAAAGATTTAACTTTACATGACTAGATGATCTTTGAAAGACCATCAAGTCTTGATTACTTTGAACCATAACCATAAAATTAAGATGTAAAGCCTCTAAATTTCCTGTAAAACTCAGTGGGGTTCTGGGGGTGTCATTCAGTGGTAGAGCTCACGCTTAGCTCTTAAATCCTGTGTTCCATTTCAGTCAAACTCATCTAAGCAGAATTCAGAAAGAAAGAAAATGCACACAGCCAACATAACTTCCATCTACAATTGTTTTAATCATTAAAAAAAAAAAAAACTTTTACAAATAATTGCATTCAGGGACAGACTTTAAACCTAAATAGAAAAGTAAGATAAACCTCAACATTGATCTCTGGAAATTCTAATTTGGCCCACATTTCCTTCATACTGGCCTGGTCTTAACTAAGCCAATACAGGATAGGATTCTTCCTGAGAGTTGGCAAAGATGTCATATTCCACTTTTTTGTCCAGAAATTGACAACTGTGGCTTTCAAAAATAAAAACAAACAAACAACAACAACAAAATAATGAGAAAAATTTAAGTTATTATTGGTCTGAAACCATTTATGTACTCCTGAATAAAAACAAGTTTGGATTTGTGGAATTCACTTCTAGGCATCCTTTCTGCTCATCTGTTGGCCTGTGAAGACTTTCAGTGGAAGAAAGAATAGGTCAAATTCAGATATGTCCATTTCATTATTGTCAGCCAAGGGCGGGCAGGTTGAATTCAAAGCCCCAGGCCACATGCAAGCTGAAAAGAGTTTATCTGATGAGTCCAGAGGAAAACAATGTTATATATTGCTTATATGTCAAATAAAAAAATTAAATATAGTTGCTCTAAATTGCTAATATAAAAATAGTTTCTGCTCCTATTCAAAACAGTTGCTTTAAAAAGTAGTATGTACTCTACTTTTTAAAAAAAGATTTTAAAGAAAACTTATGTATCTGCATCTCCTTCCTGGATCAACCACCCAACTGTTGAGCCACACACAGCCATACACACTGCTGCAATCACAGGAAGCCTGAAGAAACCATTTCCAAAGCCACTTGCCTGCTACTGAGTTCTGTGTGGCTGGCCTTATGCCAGTACCACACGGATGCCCTGTACCTGGTCATCTTCCCATCAGCCTTTAATAATTCTGTGCCCACTTTTGCCTAAAAAAAAAGAATAAAACCAAGGAATACCTGGGTCAGATAACCTGCCAACTATTCTATATTGAAAGACTGCTCCTATTGGGCTGGGTCCATTTTCCTTGCACGTGTACTGTGCACAGGTGGCTGACCAAGTCTTCCCCCAACCCTTCCCAGATGTTCTTCAGGGGCTAGACGGCTTGCCGTTGGGGCCAAGAAGAAGCTTAACACCCTGCTTGTCGATGCTGGAGTTGATGCTGTCTGTGTCCTTCTCCTGCTCAGGGACACAGGTGCAGCCCACTGGGATGGTGACGTAGTCCTCCATGTACACTGAGCGACCGCCCGCACAGGCAGAGGTCCGGCGCAGGATGACAGCAGGCATGTACACTGGGGTGCTGCGGAAGTGGAAGTCCTCCTCCCCAAAAAGCCCAGTCAGGCAGCCCCGGCACAAGCAGTAGGCTTCAGGCAGGTACCTAGGGAACCTTGCCGGGTCATAGGAAATTCTGAAAAGAGAGATTGAGGGATTAATTTGTGATTTGGGGGCAACTGACACACACATGGAGAAAGGACAGCTTCTACAAGGTTTGTGCTTCTGAGACCAAACACCAGAAAAAAGGTGGGGAGCATAGCAAACACTCTGTTGAAATAATTGATTAAATGAAATGGGTTGAGGAGGAGGCTAGGCCTTACATCTGACATCCTATCATACAGTTAGTGTCCACTTGAGGCCCCACACTGAAATAGATACACTTGAGCTTTGTTAAATGCTGAAGACAGCATTTATATCTATCCTTGAGCCAACCCATAAAATTAACCTAAAGTCTGCAATAATGTAAATAGAAAAAAAATTCTAGGCAGCCTGCACATGTGACTACAGGGGCCAATGGAATAGAAAGAGACCCAGTGTCTGCTTGGGGCCACCTCTGGGGCCTCTCCACTGGCCAGTCACAGAAGATGCGCAGGCTGGTACAGATGCCATGAAGGGGAGACACTGATGCAGAACCACAAGCAAAGGCAACTGCAGGACACCTGTGTTGAAGTGCAAGGTGACTGTGTCCATCTGTCTGTTTGGGTCCATATGCCTTTCTGTTTGAAGGGACCCACATGGCACAAGGAGAGGGCAGGACTGGCTGGCCTGGGATATTCAAAATCTGGTTTAAATTGGATAAATTTCATTCTCCTTCCAGTCTTCCTATTTTGGGATCAAATGCCAAGAACATGTTGTCTGACTGCCTGTAACAAAGACTCAGTCTCTTCACTTTTGCCTGAACCTCTGCCTCCATTTTGCATCTGTCTCTTTTGCTATGAGTTGCCTTGGATTCTAGGAACAACAGGTCCATTATGGTGGTGTCCTTTCAAAAGCTCATGTGTGAGTTAATGCAAGAAGGTTCAGAGGTGAAATGATTTAGTGATGAGCACTGTAACCCAATCAGTGGATTAATCCCCTGGTAGAGATTAATTAGGTGGTAACCCTAGGTAGGCAGGGTATGGCTGGAGGAGGGTGAATACTGGGGGAGTGGGGAGGGCATGCCTTTGAGGTTCATATTTTATCTCTGGTAAGCACAACTCTCTGCCTCCTGGTGGCCATGTCCTGAGCTGCTTTCTTCCTTCACACTCTTCTGCCATGATGTTCTGCGATGGAGTTGGCCGTCTATGGACTGAGACCTCTGAAACTATAAGCCCCAAATAACTTTTCCTCCTTACTTTGTTCTTGTCAGGTCTTTTTGGTCACAGAAACAAAAAAGCTTACTAAAACAAGTTCTGATTGATAAACATCTTGTAATGTCCTGGAACCACTCCCCAGGCAACAGTAACTGTCTTATCACCAACATGCAGAATCGGGTAAGAATGGACAGTCCATGCCTGATCAAGATCATCTGCTTTAGTAGCTGCATAGAACCTCTGGCTATGCAAAGCCCCAATAGTTGCCCTCATTTCCCTTTCTATTAACATCAAAGTCATTGTCAGTCCCCTGCAGACAGGGCTAAAGTTGTGGGTCCCCTCATCTTCCTAGTGTAAATGTACTGATTAAAGTTTTTTTCCTGCTTTTCACCATTACTTTTCTGCTTAGTGTTTGGGGCAAGCGGCTGCACCTTATTTGTTGGACCCCAGAGTCAGGCCTCTGGCCTAGGATTCTGGTAACATGCCCTGGACAGAAAGGTCAGACTGTGTGGTCATTTCTCCTCTTTTCCTCATGGCCCATTCCAGCCTGTCTTCAAAGAAAGAGTCAGGAGCTAGGAGCCGGGGACGGGTTAGTCTGCCTGTGTTGGCTTCTGACCTCACAACCCAAGGTCAATTCAAGACCCTAACTTAACATTTGAAGGAAAGACATTTATAGTTAGTATTCACAATATCATTTTCAACATTTATCCACTGAATATCTGAGGGCTTTTTCAGGCAATAAGGATATAGACAAAACACATACCCACTATCCAAGATTCACAATCTGGAGGGAGACATACTAATAAAAGAAGTTCACCTGGCCTGTGAGAGGCTTTAGGAAAAGGTGGCTCTTGACTGGATTTATCTACATGAAGAAATGAGAAAGAGCATTTGGGATGGAGGTCAAAGTATAGGATAGAGGGAGTAGGTACAGGTGGGAGGTACAAGTTGAGAAGGTCACAGGGATGAAGAAAGCTGCACCTTGTCAGGAATTCTGGTCTGACCCTGAAGGCAACAGGATGGGAAATGACCTGAACAGATGGATGGTTAGAGAGATCCCTTCATCTCTGGGGAGGAACAGCATCTGGGGCCCAAAATGGGGATCTTAGCTGAAGCTAATTTTGAATTGTTGGTATATGGATGGTGATTAAGAGGAGCATGTGAGGGAGAACAGAAGGAGTAGAGGTCACCAACTTTGAGGGAAAGAAATCTGAGTGTGGATACTGTGACATCCTTAAGGCCAAGAAAGGCAGAGGCTGGAGAGAGAAGTGGTCAAAAGCTGAACTTGAATTGGAACCAGTTTATCAGACATGGGGATGGAAAGTCTTAGACTGTGTGTCATTACTATAACAATCTGCCTGGGATTGGGTAATTTATAAAGAATTTAGTTCATGGTTCTCGAGGCTGGGAAGCCCAAGAGCTTGGAGTTGGTCTCTTCTCAGTATCTGGGGAGGGCCTCATGCTGCATCATAACACAGTGCAGGGCAGCACATGGTGAGACAGAGCAAGGGCGCCCACTCAAATCTCTCTTCCTCTTCTTATAAGGAAGAGGAAGCCCCAGGAAGCCCCAGCTCGTGACCTCATCTAACCCACTTCCAAATGCTACCAACCTGTGAGTTTGGGAATTAAACTTCCAACAAATGAACTTTGGGGAACACATTCAAACCACAGCAAAGCAATATGAATGTGGGAAACTTGATAGGTTTTCCAAGAAAAACTAGGAGGGAACCTACATATTAAAAGGGCTTGAGAGAGGGACACAAACCCCAGGGGCATCACTGCCCTGGTGCAGTGAAGACTCATTGAGCCTCTGCTCGTTCCCATGTGTTTCTGTCTCAGGAATCAATTATATGGTTGCTTTAAAAACTTATCAAATCCAAACTGAGGCACATCCCACAAAACAACTGATCTCTGTCCTGGGGTAGAGAAGAGGCATTAGGAGGGCACTTTGAATGAAGTCTGCAGATTAGATAACAGTGTCCTATTTATGTTCATTGCCTGATCTTGATTAATTTGCTGGCTATTGATGTTGCCATTTGGGAACACCTGGGTAAAGGGTGTATGGGAATTTCTTGTCCTAATTTCACAACAGTTTTGGTACTTTGAACAGTTAAAAATAAAGAGGAAAATTTTAAATTTCAAAAACGTCCCTGATGGAGAGTGATCAGGGAAATCGGAACCTGACTGAGTATGTAGATATTAGGGAAGTATTAATTTTAAAGTGTATTAATGCATTGTGGCTTGACAGCGCCCTCACTTGAAGATGTGCACACTAATAGAGACTGCTGAACACTGGGGAAGTCACTGGGTACCCTCTGGGTTTGGCCAACAGGAGATGGTGATATGGTAATAAGCAGGGCACAGATTTGGGCTGTGCCCTCCAGGAGTGCACAGGTCTGTGGGCAGGACAGGCTGGCATCTGTCAGCTCCATGTGATACCAGGTTCAGGGACTGTGGCCAGTCCCAGTGTGTTAGTCAGCCTTTCGTCTCTGTGACCAAAATATCTGATAAGAACAACCTAGAGGAAGACAGGTTAGTTTCACAGTTTCAGAGGATTAAGTCCATGGTCCATCAGCTCTATCACTCTGGGCCTAGGTGAAGCAGAACATCATGATGGGAAGGCATGACAGAGAAAAGCTGTCAGCTCATGGCACAGGGAAGGGAGGGAGGGGGTGAGGAAGGGAGGGAGGGAAGGGGGAAGGGGTGAAGGGGAAAAGAGCGGGAGGGGGGGAGAGAGAGGGAAAGAGAGTGTGTGAGTATGTGTGCATGTGTGTGTGCGTGTATAAGGGGTGGGCATGCCCTCAGAGACTTACTTCTTCCAACTAGTAGTCCATTCAACCATCAGTGGATTAATCTGTTGATGACATCAGAGCCCTCAGATACAATCACTTCCCAAAGCCTCACCTCTTGAACACTGCTGCATTGGAGACCAAGTCTTCAACACATGAGCTTTGGGGGGACATTCCAGATCCAAACAATAGCACCCTATGAGGGGTCTGAGGAAATGATCTACATACATTGGAGATGAGGATAAAAGACAAGAGGGCTAAGCAAAGAAGAGAGCTCAGGGACCTGCAAACACGAAGCAGCAACACACGCCTGAGCCAGAAAACAGATGACTGCAGTGGGTGGGAAACTGCAGCTGGAGTGATATGTGAGTGTGACTGTGATAACTTGTGTGTGAGCATATCCAAGTGTGAGCATGTCATCATGTGATATAAGCATTGCATACCTGAGCATGTGTAAGCATGTGTGAAAGAGTGTGGGTGTAAGCATTTGCATGTGTGAGTATAAACAGCATGTTTGTGGGTATATGTGTGTGTGATGTGTGTGAATGTGAGGGCACATAAGTAGGTGTGTATGAATGTGTGTGAGCATGCACGGGCACAAGCATGTGTGAATATGAAAAGTGAGAGTTTATGTGTGTGAATGTGTGGGGGTGTCATGTGAATATCGAGTGGGAGAACGTGTGTGGGGGGGTAGCGATCTCATGAGAAATTCAAGGTGGAAGCGGAGCAGAAAGTGGAGATTGAACCCTGCAGCTCCTGGGAACCAGGAATGGAGGATGAGTTGCCCAGCACAGTTGAGATTCCTGGAGGAAAGTTACCCAACAGCAAGACAGAGAGTAAATTACAGGAGCACTGGAGGGCTGGGGTGCATTAGGTGCTATCCCCCAGGCTGGTTTCCTCTTTGGTGATGTTGGCTTGACCTGCTGGCATCGACCATCCCTTTCAGTTTCACTTAAGATTTGTCTTTCTGTACAATGTGGTGTCTAGGTCCCATCACCCTGGGTGTCATTCAGAAGCAACTGGTGCTTGTGCATCACCCTTGTTAGTTTTGT